ACTTGGGGTGCTTGTGTGGACTATAAGTGAGATTTTGGGTGTTAGTGTTGAAGGGGGTCATTTTTTGGTCTTTGTTGACGGTTTATTTTTTCTAGGAGTCGGACAAAGTGGGTGTTAGTGGGTGTTTGTGCACATAACTCTCCAAGTTGTGGGTGTTAGTGAAGATGACCCATATGCGTTTTTACAAAGTTGGGTGTTTGTGGTGTTAGCATAAATTAGTAATACCCAAAATATAGTATTTTCAAAAAAAAATTATCAGTTGCTCTTGAATATATTATCTTGAAATATTTTTCATCTCTTCTACTAAAATTCATAATTTTGATAATACGATAAAGTAAAAAAAATGAAACAAGAGAAAAATTTCAAAATATCACAATATTTCAATAATGAAACTACAAATAGATAGAAATGCATGTTAATTTCTTCTCTTGTGATCTTCATTGGAATACAAATAAAAGAATATCTTTCTCTTTTATTAGTATCTTACACACACATATTTTTCTCTCAAATTTAATCTGATTTTTTTTTCTTTTTCTTACTTTTAATAAAAAATACGAACTATGTAACACATTTTTTGAATAAATGGAACAATAGATAATTGTTATATGCTTCTTATTATATGATGTTGTGCACTGTCCGTGTCTCTGTTTGTTTTTCTTTTTTTTTGCTCTTTCTGCTTCATTCACATCAAACTATACAATTATATGTCAATAGTTTTTATCAGTTGTTAGCCTCTTGAAATGATATTAAATAGATGAAAAGAGAGAGAGCGAGAACAGCTAAAAAAATTTTATTTCAAATATATAAAGAGAAATATGATAGAAATGATTAATTTCATGTGATATATCAATGTTTAGAATAAACACTATCATCAGACAACAACAACACTACTAATATAAATAATAATAAATGTATAGTATAGACATATTGAATATGTATAAGAAGAATTTCATTGTTCATTATTTGAAGAATAATGAAATAACTTCATAAAATATTCATTGAATTGCTGCATATCTAATATTAACAATTGTCCATTTCATCATTTCTTCTTCAAAACAATAAACTATATATCAAAGAAAAAAAATGGAGCTAATCTTCAATCAAATTAAGACAACAAAGTCAAAATCTATATAACTCACGAAAAAAATCTTCTAGACTATAATTCAAGGGGGGAAAAGCGAATCAAACATTTCCAGACATTCTCATTCATTCCCAACTATTTCCATCATCAATTTCCATCTATTTTCAGGTATTTCTATTCATTCCTAATTCTTATTCATTCTTATGTATTCGTAGTTTTCATAAATCATCTTAGTGATATGTTGAAATTGAGTTTACTTTTCAAATTGTCAGTTTAATGTTATATAGAGTTAGAAAACTTTGAAACTCGTTCCTTGCGCTATACATCTACGGATAGGACGTGTTCTCTATCTTCTCGTATCTATCATATACATATATAAAAATATACATATTTTCTATTATCACGTGATTCATCAATCAACCTAATCTATATTATTTTTTTAATATTTGGTTGGCAATTTGAAATTATCCACGGCCTTACTGGCATGCTTGATAGCATGCTGAATGTAGGTTTATCCCATTCTGTCGACCATTCGACATCTCAACAGCACATCAACAACAATACTGTTCAAAATCAAGGTTCAGTTAGTTCATCCACTACACATTCGACTTCTTGCACCAACCAACCACTGTTATTATCACACTGTATTCCCGTTCCTAGCACTGATAGTGTTAGTACAGATCAGTCTAGTTCATCGTATATCAATAACACCACCATTCATGGCCCAATGTTCAACCATCCATGCTATACCACCAACTGCCATCATCATGCAACATTGAATTTTCATTCATATCATCAATGTACAGCGACATCTAATGATCCTCACCATTCGACAAGTAATATGAATCAGTCTCAAGTGAATCATCAACAACATCAAAATGGTCCACGGAAATGAACCAAACATGTGAATCAAAATGGTCCACGGAAGTGAACCAAACATGTGAACCAAAATCTATAGGCTTACTTCTGTTAGAAGTTATAAGCCAATCAGAGAAAAAGTCCATATTTTACGGCGGTCCAAAATATCTTTTTCGTTTCTCGATTCAATACGGATGCAATAGTACAGCATATAAACTGTAATAGGAACACTATTGATTGACTTTTTTATTTTTAGTTTTTCATATTCTGTATTCTAATTTTTTTAAAAATATAAAAATCAAAATGACAACGAAAAATAATATTTTCAATAATACATTAATAACAATTTTAGTTCTGCTGATTGCATTCCTACCGTATCTTTGAATAACTGTCAAACAACAAATATATCATAAGAAATTACAAAACCGCATTATCAGAAATCGTGTTCATCTTGCTACAATATCATCATTATTGATTTTGAAATTATTAACTATTATTGACTAGAAAACAATTATATCTAATTCTCAGTTGCTAAGAAAACTACGATCGATTATCGTATGCTGTTAGCCGAAAAAACTTGTAAAATAATAGCGAGACTTTAGGGAAAACATACGCTTAGAATGTTTGATTTGCCTCTACTGAAACCTTGATTAGAACGTTTCTCTTTTTATATCGGAAACTAGTATTTAATGACGAGCTTTGCATGAATATCGAACCTTTTTATACTTTTAATATATCGTTTAATACTTGATAATTCAGGTCTATCTTTTTCAAAAGCTTTATTTTCTTTCTTACAAAAAAGAATAGTTTCTATTAACCTAAATTAACGTGTTATTGATCTGGGCATGATATAAAAAAAACTCAAGGATAAAAAATTTCTGAAATAATTTTTTTTCTAAAATGTTCTTTTTAACTGGAGATTTTCACGCTTTAGAAAGAGTGTCAATCGATGTCATTTTTTATCAATGATAATCCATTTGATGAAGCCTCAATTTTTTTGTTGAATTTAATATTTCAAAGGTTGTTTAGTAATAACTGTCTCTTTATCGCACAAAAATGAACACATTTAGTTCATAAAAACTTTTCTGCTTTCAATCTAACAAAGAGATACTGAAAAATTTCGACGTTCAAATATTCAGCAAAAGCGCTCATATGTACTATACTCCCCTATATTTTTGTATTTACTATACACTACAATTTTATGGCGAAATCATAGGTGAATCAAAACGATCAACTCAAAATGCTCATAAGTCAAAAATGTGTAAGATCAAGACTATCATAAAGAGTGTTCCATAAGTAACGATCCATTTTTTGTTTTCTTTCTATCTTTGTCGTAGTCAGCCGTAAATAGATATTCAATATAGGATTCTTAAAGAGCGTCATCTAAGCTATCAATCAAAAAAAAATTGTATGAAGTTTGCATGAACACTAAGAGAGACTACATCGATAAAAATTTTGAAAAAATTTTGTCAAATGCATTTTTTAGTTTATCTCTATAAAGAATAACCTTCGCAGTATTTTGTGAATATCTCTCTTATTTTTGTGATGGTCTGACTTAAATTTTTTTTAAAAGATAGCCTGTGAAATACTCTACAAAATTCAATAAAAGATACCTCTTCAAAACAATAACTAGAAAACCATATCTGATCAGCAGTGCCACACTCCAAAAAGACCCACTTTCACAGAGACCTTTTTTTACAAAACTAATTCTTTCTCATTTCCGAAAGAAATATGTTTCATGTCATTCTGAACTATCATTTTGAAGAGGTATCTTTTATTGGATTTTGTAGAGTATTTCACAGACTATCTTTAAAAAAAATTTAAGTCGAACCATCACAAAAATAAGAGAGATATTCACAAAATACTGCGAAGGTTATTCTTTATAGAGATAAACTAAAAAATGCATTTGACAAAATTTTTTCAAAATTTTTATCGATGTAGTCTCTCTTAGTGTTCATGTGAATTTCATACAATGTTTTTTGTATTAATAGCTTAGATAACGCTCTTTAAAAATTCTATATTGAATATCTATTTACGGCTGACTACGACAAAGATAGAAAGAAAACAAAAAGGGGGGTCGTTACTTATGGAACACCCTTTAGGTAAAAGTTTCTTCAAATAAATTAAAAGAGGACTTTGTTCCATCATTTATCAATACGATAAAATCTTTTCGCTATGAATACAATCAAGATTTTTTACACATATTTATCATAATATGTCAAATCGAGAGAGATGAATTAATCGTTTTCAGGTAAAAAGCAAAATGTTAGAGAAAACAATTCTACAGTAACTCAGCAGTAATTAGAGGTCTTACTTTATTGCTTTTTGCTTCCTGATTTTGATGAATTTTATTTAGAAGATTAGCAGAACATGATATTAAGTTTTCAAAAAGTTCTCGAAAGATGCCTGTCTTTCTTTCAAAAAAGTGTGAACAATGATCAGTTTTGAATTCAATTGACTGATAACTAATCGAGAAACAATAAAAAATCAAAATAACCAAAGAAAAAAATTACTTTAAACTTAAACGAAACTCAATTCGACCACAAACGACATCTTTCAAAAGCACTCTCACATTATTGGTCTACACGGGTGAAACATGGAGTCTGGAATGAAGTTTGATTCACGTCGAGTTTGGTTCACTTCTGACGACCATCAAAATAATCAAAATGTTACACCAATGGAAAGTGAAAATGATAATGGTTTTATATTAGTTAAACGGAATAAGAAAAAGAAAAAAATTGATCTTCCACAAAACCAACAACCTTCATCTTCATCTTCATCTTCATCATGTTCTTCATCACCAACAATTTCAACAAATGGATCCACTTCTTCAACAAACACCAACAGCATTATTAGTTATGTTCAACCGACAAGTGCTATTGCTGTTCATTTACAACCAAATTCACGTGAAGTTAATGCACCTGTTTCAATTATTAATACAGTTAGTATTGAAATATCACACCAAGCACGACAGTACGCGGAAACGTGTTACGCCTTTCCGCCATTCATCATCAAATTCCAACAAGACATTAATGAAAGTTCAATATTAAAGTATTTAATATCTCATTATTCTTACAACTATAATTTCAAATTGAATTTCGCTGGTCATCGATTAAAATTTAAACGTAATCTATTATTATTTGTTAATGATCGTGAATCGTTTTCTATGCTTTATGATGCATCAAAATGGCCGTCGACTATCGATTCACTCAATTTTGAAAAAGTTTTACCTAGTCATCTACCACCTCAATTTTCATTAGTTCTTAAAAATGTTCCATTTGATACAGAAATTGATACATTATTAACAAACATTAAATCTATTTACCCGAATGTAATTAATGCTCATCGAATTCTTAATAAAAATCAACAACCTACCACATTAGTTAGACTTGACATTAACAATATAAACGTTATTGATGAACTTTTTGGTAAGAAATTTCTTTCTACTGATAATTTAAGACTTGGAGTGATGGAATATTTGGCACCACCTAAGGTGTTGATATGTAGCAAATGCTACCAAATTGGACATTTCAGAAGTACCTGTAAAAGCACCTTAGAAATTTGTAAAATATGCGGATTTAGTAGTAAAGATCTAAATCAGCATAAAGAAATATGTGAAAAAAAACAATGTTGTATTAGATGTAAAGGTCCACATGATTCAAACGATATACGTTGCCCTGATGTCAAAACATACAGGGCCGCACTCACAAAATCTCTTTCAACTCAACCAAACATGATGAATCATCAACAAAATAACCAAACAAAATTCCATTATAAAGATCAAGATTATCCATTATTAAATATGAATTGCAACAACAAGAATTATAAGATTAACAATTTATTAAACAATCCAAGCAATCGAATTGATGAACTTCACCACAAGTTGAACAATTTAGAAGTGAATTTGAATCGTCTATTAGATTTAAGTAACAACTATGCTGATCAATTTACTCGTACACAACAAATAATTATGAATCACAATCGTGATATACAATTGCAACAAATCGACGGTGCATTTCAACGTGATTTCGTAAGTCAATTTATCTCTCCAATTTGTCAAGTAATGGTAGAAGTGATCCCGGTCTTAGTCAAACAAAATGTTCTGAATGACAAAACCTTACTTTGTCCTTCGTTATTAGCACTATATGCTAAGTTAGCGAATGATCTTCCGGTGTGGACAAATAAATACTTACAAAACGAAGATACAAAATTAAAACTCATCAACGAGTTTAACCCGAACAATCAACATCCGTCGGTTGGTTTCATCAGCAACAATCCACATCAACCACTCTCCAATCAACAACTCCAACAATAACTTCCTACAATCTGTCCCCTTTTGCTGAAGTATTTACCCCAACAACAGTGAAAAAGAAAAGCTTCAATGTTGAATATGCACTTTCCTGTTCTTCTCAATACCTATCTGCTTTTGACTTTAGTTTATTATCCGATATTGTTAATGAGTGGTTTTCTCTACCTACTCTCTCTGCTTGTTGTTCTCACTGGAAAACCTTCAGTAATGCTTGTACTTATTCGCTGTCTCCTCAATTTCAGATTCTTCTTTTCAATGTAAGAGGACTAAAAGGAAGGTGGGAAGAAGTCTTACTATTAGCTGAGAAATACCAAGTAGACTGCATTATCTTAACCGAAATAGGAGCAATCGAACAAACACAAATAAAACAGATTTTCGTCAATTTTAAGTTTTTCTACCAAAAAGGGGAAAATTCGTGGGGAGGCGTCCTGATGTTGTTTAGACTGAGTATACCAATAGTACACATAAAATCCGATATTCCTAATGTATGTGTTGTTGAAGTTAAACTTGAAAGAACAATACGTATAATCGGTGTTTATGCTCCGAAGAGTAAAACATGGGAATGGGACCACCTTTCTCGATACATCACCGACGAATGTTGTATATTCGGAGATTTTAACATCGATCTAGAGAGTAAGGCTGATGAGAGATTTGCTAAAAGTTTATTGGATTGGTCTGGAGCACTAGCACTTGCTCCAGTTGTGCACAACTCCCCCACATCCCTTCGATCCGATAGGATTATTGACTATGGATTCACACGTAGTATCCCGCTTACGATTCAAACTTGTGTTGATAACACTACCAGTGATCATAAACCGATCCCGGGAGTACTAAATTGTGAAAGCAAGAAAAATGCATTAGGTAGTGATACACACTGGAAAGTCTTTCACTATTTTCTCGCAATGACCTCAGAATTTTGGGAGCATGAAAGTAAGCTCTGCTCGACCAATGAGTATTATAAGAACTTTGTCACTCCACTGGATTGCCTAAAAACTCGATGTACAAGCTTTTTTCCGATAAATAAGTACCGCACTGCGATTCCAAAGGAACTGAGAATGAAATTATCCTATGTACGTGCCTTATCATTTCAACATAAAAGAACGGGAGATGTTCTATTGCACCAAAAAATCAAAGAAATGAGAAGAATAAATAGGAAAGAGTTGATTGCATTCCGTTCAGGAAAACTAACAAATGCACTAAAGGAAAGATTTACCTCATCGCCCAGTTCAAATTTATTTTGGTCCAAACTGAGGAAAAACTTTAAAATGACTAACTCGCTCAATGCTTTTATAGACGAAAACAATGAGCCCGTCAAGGATGCTGACGGTATGCTCGAACTTGCTGCTTCTCACTGCGAAAAGCTCTTCTGTGAAGCTCATATATATCGCCCACATCCCTATACAGATAGTCCGGAGCTACACTGGGATAATTATGAGGACCCGATCCCCCCCCCCCCCCCCATTTCTATGCCTGAACTCATAAAAGCTATATCTAAGGTGAAGAAAAAACATTCCACTGATGCACATGGCATATCAGCTTATATGTTCCAATTTATTCCTAATACATACCTGAGAGCACTACTGGAGTTATATAATGAATCACTTGCCACATACACGACACCATCCTATTGGAAACACGTTAAGATGAAGTTGCTACCCAAAAAGGAATCGATTTGCTACGTGAAAGACACTAGACCGATTTCTCTATTAGATATTTTCCTAAAGATTCTCGAACGGTTGTTTCTTATTCGATTTCAGCACGTACTTAAAAACAGAGGTATCCTGAACGACTCACAATCAGATTTTAGATCAAATTTTAGGTTACAGACTCGTGTCCTCAATTTGATCGATCAAATCTCTTCCTTAATGAGTACAAGCACACCCGTACCCACGGTCTTCGTAGATTTCAAACAGGCTTTCGACCAGCTCTGGTGGACTGGATGCCTAGGCAAACTAACTCGTCTGGGAATACCAAAAGCATACGTGATGTGGATTGATTGCTGGTTAAAGGACAGATCGGGTTTTATTGAAATGAAAGAAAAACGTTCAAGGCTCTTCCCGATCGCCAAAGGAGGACCTCAAGGTTCATGCTTGACCCCCGCTATCTTTATTACGTACCACAGCGATATGTGGACCTTCCTGGAAAGTACTCTGCCTAACTTTTTTGCAGACGATTTAGCATGTGTGCTGGGAGGTATGATGGGAACCAAGTACTTACAGCAGTGTCTCGACCTAGAGTCGAAACTCAAGAAATTGCTTGAGTACCACGAGTATTATGCCACCTTATCGGTACAACCGATAAATTATGAAAAAACCGAACTACTTTGGTCGGCACGCGCTGTTGGTAGTCCTAGATTTGATATCGCAATGGGAGATCATAAATTAGCTTGGGTCAAGAGTTTTAGATATCTCGGTTACCACATATCGTGCAAACTTGGCTGGAACAAGATGATTTCTTTGTACAAAAGTAAAATTAGACAAAGAGTAGCCATAGTGAAGTCATGTCATATGTCGGCCTGTCCACGTAACTGCGTACATTAGTGGGCGAAGTTGACCAACGCTGTTAAGTAAAACTAATATCACCATCGTGCAGAGCAAGATCGAAATCACTCAGAAATATGTTCTTTTACTTCACAGATCTGCATTATCGTGTGAAAATTTATCATACAAAAAGTGTGAGTCTCAGAAGTCTCGAATGAACAAAATTATGACAGATTCTAGTTTTGAAATCTTTTTTCCAAATAGATGTGCTTTTTTGGAACTCTTTATATGAAGTAGTACTACGGTCAACAGAGTATATGTTTATGAAAAGAAAAGTTTGATCCGTTGTTTCTTTGTGAAGTTATCTAAGTTTGTAAACATGGCACATTGATGATGGTGATTCCATCACGATATTCATCCATAATTCATTTCTGGTAAAATACAAGTGGTTTCGTTTTCTCAAAAGTGGTATTCTAAAGAAAAATTTTTATGCTCTATATGTTGCTTTAGTTGGCGGGTTTTCAAAACGTTTTAAGGAATTACGAACAATGTGACGGAATCACCTCAAAAGACCAAGTTTTTATGACGGATAATAATGAGATCATTTTTTCCATACAAAACACGGGTAACGTTTTCCTGAGATTTTGGCCCACTGTAAAAATAAAGGCTGTTCCGAGTGAAACTTTCAGCAAATACTCAGCTATATACCAGTAGCCACCACACAAAATTTCAACTTGATCCGTTGAACTTTTCCTTTACTTTCACCATGCCCTAAATGTGCATATAAATATCCTATAGGGGTTATCTTGTGGGCCCTCGTTCTCGACTATACGATTCAGAACCGGAGCCATTTTCTTAGGGTCACTAGGAATCACTGAGGGCTACAATATTGCAAGGACATGAGGTCCAGAAAAAATCTGTCTTCATATCCATTTGAAGTACACAGTGTCAAAAATTCTTGAAAAATCCCTCTAGAGATAACCTTGTTTACCTTCGTTCTCTATTATACAATTCAGAACCGGAGCCACTTTTTCAGGGTCACTAGGAATCACTGAGGGCTACAATATTGCAAGGACATGAG